GTGTGTGTGTGTGTGTGTGTGTGTGTGTGTGTGTGTGTGTGTGTGTGTGTGTGTGTGTGTGGAGAGAGACAGAGACAGAGGGAGAGAGAGAGCAGTGCAGCAGTCAGCTCTCCCCACCCGAGGCTGAAGGTCAACAGACGATCATGCTAAGTTTGCTAACAGCTCCACCCTCTGACTGCTGCAGGGGCGTGTCTTAGAGAGAGGTTTATATACCAGAACACAGCCGCTGTGACGAAACTGTGCACAACCACGTCACAGTGGAGAGCCGTTAACCAATATGCAAATTAGCCTGCGGTACTACTGCTCCACCCAAATGCGCAGCAAAAACACGTTTTTAGACCAAATATTACAGATTTGAACAAATACACACAAAAACATCAAAATTAGCACAGAAACAGTACTATATAACATTTTAGACACATTCTAGGCAGTTTATCAGCTAAAAAAAGTTAATTTTGGGGTAAGTTACTCTTTAATTACTCCTTAGGAACAAGTTTCAGTTGAACCCAGTTTAACGTAATCTTAGATTTGCTTATTTTGTTAAAAACTTTGTGGGAACCAAACAAAACATAAAAGTCTCACATATTTATTCCTTTTATTTCATCTATTTTCTAAAAATTTATTCATAGGTGGCATGGTGTTCATCCACACCAGCCATGAGTCTGTCTCTATTACCTGACTATCTTTTTTGTTTGTCTCTTCAGACGCTCCAATTAACCATTAATTATTTAATGGACAGAAAACATTTCAGATGGCTTCTTTTAGCAAAGCCTTAGGTCTGATTTTGTTGGAATACACAGAACCATTAAAGGGGCTATATCATGTAAAATCAACTGGTTTTATATAATGTTATGTTATCCTCTCATCAAAAACATGCCCAGAGTCTTACTTTGACTCATTCATGCATGTTTGAGAAATCCTGTACTATCCCGAGGCAGTCAGGCAGGGGAGCAGAAATGACCGGTTGGGACTAGAACCGCCTTTTGGGATCATCTCCTCCTCTGGGCTGTGTCTCCAAGCTGAGCTTCCTCATCACAGAGCACACACACCCCCTGCACCCCACCCCTGACTCCTGCAGGCTCTCAGCAGCAACAAAGCAAACAACTGATGAAACTGAAACTGTCTGCTGAACTCTCAATACTAATTCTGAGCGCAGCCCTTTTCAAATTCAAAATACCTTTGAGGAAATACATTTTCAGATGCCAAGTAAACTACACTGAGCTTCCATATCGCC